CATTAAAGAATCCTGTAATGTATCATGGTTTCCGCAAAAAATGTTTTTAAAATTGATGTCAATACATGTTTCTTGAGCAGCAAATCATAATATTAGATTTCTGAAGGATCACGTGACTCTGAAGACTGGAGTAATGATGCTGAATATGCAGATTTGCATTACAGGAATTAATTACCCTTCAAATTATATTAAAATAGGAAACTGTTATTTTAAATTATCCAAATCTTACCAATTTAAAACTTTTGTATTGTGTCTTATCACAACCATTCTTACTGAATAATGGACACATTTGTTTCATCAGTTGTGTTTGTAAGCCATAAATCATTCTTTGTAAATTGTATAATGTACAGGAGGTCTTCACTGAAATGGAGGAGAAATATGGAGAGGTTGAGGAGATGAACGTGTGTGATAATTTAGGGGATCACCTGGTGGGAAATGTCTATGTGAAGGTGAGATAATTTACAGTACTGTTATGTCTATGAAATCAATGTAATGTCAACCACTGAAGTACGCATGCACTCATTTCAGACAATTTTAAAATGATAAAAGTATTCCAGTATTCTCATTCCTGTGACCGCACATTCTTTATTTTTTCCCCGCATTTTTCCCTGCTTTCCGTGTTTTTACTGTTATACGGTAGGGGGCGTTGTTATGCATCTTCTGAAAAAGTACTGAATCTCCTGATCAAAACCAATGCGAAGAAGATGCAGACACAGGCCATCTCATATGTATTCATGCATATGTAAAATAACATGATCAACAACATTAAAAGGCATACAAATCAAAATTGCCTAGTATTGTTACTGAATGAAATGTCGACCTAGGACAAGCTATATTACTTTGCAAGCATTACAGGTGTTGGACCCGGATCTATTCCATCTGTGTTTTGATCATCGTTCTGAATCCAATTCGGTTGTAGTCTTTGACAAACCTGATTTTTCTTAGCTTTTTGATAAATGTTTTTATGAAACTAGGAACAAAAATTTTATTATTTCATGTATTTTGTTATAGCCAGCGTTACTTGCTACCTGGTACTTTGTTTTTGTGCAACTGTAAAAATAATGCCCAGCTGTCTTTATTTATTTATTTTTTTTTTTTTACTACTACTATTATTATCTTTTGTGCCAAGTGGTTATCGGAACTAGCCAACATTGTGATTCCCAAGAACTAAATGTTCCTCTAGAAATGCCTGAGCACACAGCACTCCCATTTTCTGTCTTCATTAGTTTACCATCTATTTAACAGTCCTGTCAATTTATTTGAGGCCGTTAAAATATTTTATCATGGTTAAATGCATCTTAGGCTCTTTTTGCTTTACCTTGCACTCCTTATTGCAAAGAACCAACAAACACCTTTTTTTGTGTGTGTGAATGTAGTTCCGCCGTGAGGAAGATGCAGAGAAAGCGGTGATTAACTTGAATAACCGCTGGTTTAATGGACAGCCCATTCATGCTGAGCTCTCGCCTGTCACCGATTTCAGAGAGGCCTGCTGTCGACAGTATGAAATGGGGTAAGTGACTAAAGCAGCAGAGTGCTGCACACATTTCATAATACAGGAACGCAAAGCAAGAGAATAGTTTTGAAGAGTCCATTGTAACGTGTTTCATCATAGTGCCCCCGTATGTTAACAAAAATATCTCATACTTCACCTTTAAACTGTTTCACTGTGACTGACTGCAGTACTTGTGTCTTCCTGCAGAGAGTGCACTCGAGGTGGCTTCTGCAATTTCATGCACCTAAAGCCGATCTCAAGAGAACTCCGAAGAGAACTGTATGGCCGCAGAAGGAAGAGGTATGTCTGTTTTTCAAACTCAGAAGCATAAAGATTGTTTTGGCTCGTTTCCACTGAGGGGTACGGTACGGTACAGTACAGTACGGGTGGGGTTGGGTACACCATGATCAGGCTTGCGTTTTTCACCGCCAACAGTACCCTTACTTGATAGGCGTGGTGTGCTGGAAAGAAGCTTTTCAAAGATATGAAACTTCACGTAGCCTTCTGCCAAAACTATGGGCCAGGGAACGAATTGTAGATTCACGAGACCAAAGATCACCTGTTAGGTTTATACAAGACGAATTATATCTCATGTTTAACCACTACAGAGACATCCGAGTTAGCGGCAAACATCAGAACTAGCCAAGGAAAGGCTGTTCCAGGCGGGGGACACGAGCGCAAGCGTCCGGTGATCGCTTGGAATGGATCTCAGTCAAATTATCATAAATCTAGAAATAAACCACATATTTGAGCTTTAAAAATCTACTTTCTCGCCTGAAAAACTCTTAAAACTACATTTCGTGACACAATAACAGTAGTATTATATTTCAACTGTATGCTTCTATGCAGACAGACTCTATTGCTTGTTGCACGCGCAAGTGACGATACTCTGTCCACCAATCACCGTTCTGCAGTGAGTCTAGCTCCACCTTTTTTCACACACTTTTGCGTCACCATTTGCACGCGGATTTCCCACACAAAACGCTCGTCTAAACGCAGAATAAAAAGTGATGACACAACGCCACTTTTGCATTTTCTCTTCCGACTCGTTTCTGTGTAAACATAGCCTAAACCACCCAGTTTTAGTTATTTTTCTGTAACTGACAGATTCCGGTAAAAAAAAAAAAAAAAAAAAAAACACACATGGGAGTGGGAGGGAATGGGAGTCATTCTTCCGGGATTGGGACGGGACAGGATTTTTTTTTTTTTTTTTTTTTTGGAGTGGGACAGGAGAGGTTTGAAAATCCACTCTTGTGTCACCCTCTACATTGCATGAGAAACCATCATTCTACTGAGTAAAATAGCCACTGGTGCTCAGGAGTACTTTGTAAAACCGTTGTCACTTAAGACAGTCTACCGCTGCATCAGGGATTTCAACTCAAATGTGCTAACCAAGTAGAAAGCTATACATCAGTTCAATGCAGAGATGTTGCCAAACTCATCTCAGATGAACCAAAACATAGTGAAAATATGTCCTGGGGTCAAATTAGGCCACGTTTCATGTGTGACTTGCAAATGTGTAATGATATCTTTCCTGGGAAGCAAGACAATGCCTCATTCAGCATCTGCTACAATAGAGTAGAAAAGGTTTTGTAGACAATACACCATAGGGTGTATGTGCTTTACTGGTGTTCCTGCAGTCCAGATCTGTCTCATACTGAAAATGTATGGCCCATCATGAAAGGGAGAATCAGACCATGACGACCAATGAGACTCTTGAGCAGCTGCATTGTATCCGTCGTGATTAAGCCTACATAGAGAGAATAAGAGAATAAACCATGACCATTCAAAAATATGACTGGGTTGCTTAATGCAAATGGGTGCAGTGTCTCTTTAAAAGTAACTTGCTGAATTATGTATTAATAAAAACAAAACGTGACCTTAAAGTTCTTTTCTGTATGGTAGTGTATAAATGAACAGGTTTTGGTCTCGTTAGTTAATTTATTTTCCCTCCTGCACAGGCATCGCTCCCGCTCACGTTCCCGTGAACGCCGTTCTCGTTCTAGGGAACGCAATAGAGGTGGAGGTGGAGGTGGTGGAGGTGGAGGTGGAGGAAGAGACAGAGAGAGACGGCGGTCAAGAGATCGAGAACGCTCTGGACGATTTTAAAATTTCTTTGTTTCTTGAAACCAACATTCAGTCCCCAAACCCTGCCCTGCTCTCTCCTGATGAAATGTGATTAATGTTGAATTTATTTCCTTCCCTGGTTTCTTTTTCCTCCCATCTTTTTTCAAAATTTGTTTGCTTTTCAATAAAAAAATACCTTAGTCATTTTACTTATTTTCAGGAGATATATTCTATTATATGCGATCATGTACTGTTGTTTCCACTTGTACTTTTGAAAGCAGTGGTTAGTGATTTCTTGATTTCTTAACCCAGTGATTTAATACCTTTTCATTTAGCAGAATTATTAAATTTGCTGTGTTCTCAAAAAGGGATTAATGCATGTTGTAAAAGCTATTTTAATTGCAAGAATGGGGGATATTCACATAACAGTATCAAGTCACAACAAATGGTTTTAATATTCAAATTAACTAACGTCAATGAAATAGTAACATAGTCTTACTATTTAAGAGGTAAATCGGTTAATTTAATGATTTTTTTTTAAAAGTTGTTTTAGGCGTTAAGTGTCTTGTCTATGCACTATAGAATACTTGATTTTGATTAATTAACGTAATTGAGCGATCATGACGGCAAACTATTTAATGGTTCCAATGCAACTCTGTTCTATCACACTGTGTTCCCGTTTTTATAATGTATAATGTTTTTAGTAATCTTAAAATGAATCTTAAATGTTAATCTAAAGACTCGAGAATGTTTTGTGTTTCAATAGAAGAAGAAAAATGGCCTTGGAGCTCAGTATTAATTTTATGATAAGCATAAAACTGATGATTGGCTAAAAGCTCTCGGGTCCTCAATAACAGCAAGAAAATGAAAACCTCGCTCGCAAAAGCAACAAACCGGTCAAAGATAAAGAGCTGGATGAGGGCCACCAAAAAAATAATAGACTAGTTCATAGAAGCATCTATGATACAGATTTTTGCATCTGTTGTTGATTGTTTTAATGGGCTATTTTTCGATTAGGAAAAATTAATTTGCATTTTTAAGTAAACCTACAATACGATATTAACAATATTTGAATCTTGGAATATGTAACGTTACATCTTCTAAGATAGGCCTATCTACATTATCGTTTATTATTGCTAGGCAAGTAACGATACACGTATTTTTCAGATTTGAAAACGATCAATTTTTGTTTTAATTAGTATAGTATGGTTGCTCACAATTCTCCGATGTTAGTTTACTACTATGTTAGAAATAAATTGGTAAAGTGCACTTGAGTAACAATCCACTCGCTTGAGAACATAGCATGTCCAAATGTTTGTTTTCTATGCACGAGGGCACGGCTAAATATCGACGTTTCCATTGGTTAGGGGAAAGGAACAAACAGCAAATCAGCGCTCGACCCCAACAAGGTGCTGGCACCTGATTGGACACCAGTTTGACTCTAACACATGTGAGCTGCTGGCAAGCCGACCCCTTTTCATATACGGATAGGTCATCTGTGTAATCGTACCTCACTGGTTTCCAAGTTCGCCTCTAACTGATTGTCAGGTGAGTAAAATTAACTGTTCGTATTTTGTCTTCAAGCCCTAAAGATAACCCTTTTAATGATAAATAATGACCAAGACGCGATAAAAGCATCAATCTGCGACATTACTACACAATGGTGATGATTGTATCTTAACATATCCTAATCGCTTGCATTCCACACAAGTGTTTTCCAAACATAAATTATCAATTTATTTTCAATACTCAATCATATTACGCCTGTCGTAAGTGGTGAGAATGCGGCGCGCGCATGATGAAATCGAGCCCCTGCGTCAGCATCAGCACAAAGCAATAGCCATGCGATTGCGTCAGCATACTTTACCATGTTCGTTCATTAATGTGATACTCTTACATGTTTTACAACTCATACCTGCGGTGGACATCTCCAATTTATAAATCATTTGAGTCCTTTTTTATTGTCATTCATTATGTTTTCACTCTCATTTGAGCGGGATGATAAGCGATTGTTTTTAAAGCCACCGAACTCTCTTTGCTGTATATTAATAATAATAAATCTACGGTATTCTAAATGTCAGCGGCTCTAGAAGAGTTTATAAATGTAAATGTATAAAAAAAAGATGGCTGAGAACTTTTTTTTCTTAGATATTGTTTCAGTGTTGTGACCAGGACTAAACAGGATTTAAGAGTAATTCCCTCTGTGAGTTACAGACTAGCTGGCTTTGCATGATCATCTCAGCTGTCTAGAAAGCCACACCTCTTCTATGAAAGTTGGAAAGCAGAAGTTTCTTATTTCATTGTGTTTTGTCTACAGTAACTTCCTCTCAAAATATGGATGACTCTTCTGTGATTATTATGTAACTTATGCTGTCAATTGAGAGAGATAACATGCACTTAGAAGTAAAAGCTACAGTCAAAACATCCCTGATTTCAGTAAAATTCAAAAGTGAAGTGCTTGGTTTTTATTTATTTATTTTTTTTCACCTTTGGAAATGCTTGTCCGTGAAGCAAACTTTGGGCTGAAAGGCTTTGTTGGTGTTGTGTATCATTGTACTGTTCATTGCATAAGAGTCCATTCCTGGCAAATGTACAAGCACTCAAGTATGCATATGAACAAGTACAGCTGTTCTGTTCTGAAGAGAAACTTAAGTGCCTCCAGATCCTATTAGAACGGAAAGAAAATTCAGTAGCAGTTTTCCACAGGGATTAAATTGTCCATTTCCCCTGGATTCCATTGCATGCATCATCTCCTGTGTCGATCATTAGTTGTTTATTTTTATTTATTTATTTATTTTTTTTGAATGAGGGATCAACTTTTGCTTATTCATACTCTGACCAGGAGGAAGTTGAGGCTGTAATAAGGGTGCTTGTTTTATCTTCATGTTTGATGATCGAGACCATAGAGACTTATAGGTCTAATCTAATAGATATTGTTATCAAGAAGTGAGTGTTTTTGTACACATTCTGAACGATAATGTTTTGTTTTTTTCCTGAGAAAGTGTTATCATACATTGAGATATGTCAATGAAGTAAAGCACTATAAATATTATCTTCTAGGAGGGTTATTGAGACTTTTAATGGAATTTGTACAGTGGTCTGGCTTCTTAAATGGCATGTTGTGATCTGTCAGTGTTGCATAAGCGCTTGAATGACGTGAACACTGTATTTAAACATAAGAGTGAAAACCAGAATGAACTTTTAGAGCGATACGCCCACATTTATGATGGAAGGGTTGCGTAATGTTTCCTACTAATTTACAACCATTCTTTGGGTGATTGGATACTGTAAAACAGTATTAAGTAGGGGTGTAACTATACCCTCATGTCATGATTCAATACATATCACGATACTGAACTCACGATACGATATTATTGCGATACTCCAAGACATAAAAGGTTAACAAAAAATGTACTGTTGATTAAAATGCTAACTTTGATATTACATTGTGGGTTTAAATGAATAGGTTTGGACTTGCTGCTTGTAACCCAAGAACAATGGTGACACCAGAATAACATTATTCATGATTCTGAAGTTGAAAATACAGAATTATTGTAGACGAATATTCTTGCACTCTTTCACTGACTATATATATTTACAATAATGTCAGCCTTTTACTGGTAACATAAGACATTTAACATTATCAGAGCCCACAAATATTCCCCCATTGCATTATTATACATTATAATCAAGATTGTGTGTATATATATATATATATATATATATAGTAGTTTAATGTAGGACTGGCACTAAAACTCTGCAAAATTGTTTTTTTTTTTTTTTTTCTCACATAGTATTGTATTGCGATATATTGTGGCATGATGTATTGTTACACCCCTAATATTAAGGAAAGCTTGGTGACTGACACTTAAAATGCTTCCTCTCAGGTAAGCCATGCCATCAGTACCATCTAGTTCAGAGTCAGTTGGGACTGGTCCCATCTGCCCACATGCTGCCAAGGTCCTCTCAAATGCTGCAAATGGAGAATCTGGCATCAACATGGATGCCAAGCTGAAAGTCGATTCCGTCTTGAATGGAAATGCTGGACAAAAGTTAAATGTGAACGGCACAGCCCATGCGAATGAAACAAACAGTCACCATGTGAAGAGTATTAATGGAGAGCTCATGGAGAATGGATCGGAGATCACCATGGAGAGGAAATGGATTCGACCAGATTTGCCCAGCAGATGCACTTGGAAACTTGGTGACCCAAACACCGATTCACCCCACAACCACTTCCAACGGTAAGAATACAGCACCTTCAAGCTGTTACATGCTTTCTTAAGAATTCATATTTGTCAGTACATCTATTTTAAAGGGATGGTTTACTCAAGATGGAAAATGATGTCATTTACTCACCCTCAAGTTCTGTACAAACCTCTTTTTTTCTGCTGAACAAGAGGGAAGATATTTTTAAGAATTTCAGTGTTTTTTTTTTTCATACTATGGAAGTTAATGGGGACCAATAACCGTTCGGTCTCAAACGTTCTTAAAAATATCTTCCTTTGTGTTCAGTAGAACAATAACAGTTATACTGGTTTGGAACAACAGGAGGGTGAGTAAATTATGACTATTTTCTTTTTTTGGGTGAACTAACCCTTTAAGAGAGTGGGTTAGATGTTGGGGCATAGGGTTGTTTTAACATGAAGCAGGATGAAAAATCAAACTATCCAGGGACTTGACTCACCTACACAGTAAAATTGCCTTCTACCGCTGATAATTAATATTTGTTGCATGTATGTGTAAACATTGAGGTTCTAAATTATATAAAAATAAATAAACTATACTGGACTATAACCTCTTTCCAACAAAGGGGACCTTTTGAAAATGAAAAAAGTCAATATTATTGTTATAATTTTTCAGTTAATATTAAAAATCTGCTTTCTTCTTTCTTTCTACACATGAATTACCATTCAAGTTACTCCTTTTTAACAACAGTGCTTTTTCAGGAAGAATGACTCATCTTCAATTGTAACAGTGAATGACCACACATTTACCACACACACAAACCAATGTCACAATCTGCAGAGTCACAGTGATTCAGTCAGTTCCGTTGTGCTTATGTTATGATTGACATTCACCTTAATGTGTGTTTGTGGTTGTGCATGTGTAACCGCTTGACGTGCTCCCTTTTCTCACAGGACTGAGACACCCAGGATCCTCCCTAACATCTTAAGCAAGATTGGAGAGACCCCACTGGTCCGAATGAACAAGATTCCCAATGCTTTTGGCCTCAAGTGTGAGATTTGTGAGTATCTGTAAAATATGTGTGCAGAGGATGTGTCTTCCAACTAGTTTTTCTTCTTTTTCTGCTGTGTCTTATGAGGACACGAAAGATCACATGATCATTTAAGGACAGCCTGTAAAGTGCATGTATCGGCACGTGTTGGTAAGTAAGGGGTTGAGTTCTGGAGTGAGGAATGCAGGTGTTGGGTTTCGCTCTTCTGAGCTGATTGAGGACGTGAAGAAGCGAACGTTCCTAGACTTACTGTACTGAGTCACAGTTCATTCAAGCATTTTGAGTGCATGAACCTATTTACTTAAATCACATGCATTTAGTTAAAGGAGTACTTCCCGTCAGAGTAAACATTTCCTGATAATTTACTCAAACCCCATGTCATCCAAGATGTTCACGTCTTTCTTCAGTCAAAAAGAAATTTGGGTTTTTGAGGAAACTATTCCAGGATTTTTCTACATATAGTGGAATAGTTTCAATGCAGCTTCAAAGGGCTCTACACGATTCCAGCTGAAGAATAAGGGTCTTATCCAGCGAAATGATCGGCCATTTTAAAAATAAAAATAAAAGAATCAATACTTTTTAACCACAAATGCTCATAGTTCACTAGCACTGGAAAATCCTGGAATGTTTTCCTCAACCTTAATTTCTTTTTAACTGAAGAAAGAAAGACATGAACATCTTGGATGACGTAAATGTTAATTCTGAAGTGAACTACTCATTTAACAACATCTATTTTTAGAAATAAGCTGCATCCCAATATGCATACTTCCCTACTACATGGTAGGTGAGAAACCGTATGTAAATGGTATGTCTGAATTCACAATTTATGAAATGGTTGGCAAAAAGTGACCAATTACTACTGCTGAGATTCTTAAGTACGCATCCAATAGACACTTTACTATCCAATGAGGCCATGGGAAAGAAGTTGTGAATGGCAGCAAAGCAATGCAACTCACACCGTAGGTCACATAACAGTGACAACATGACAGATGTAATACATACATTCATACTGTATAGAATGTGTTTTTTTTTTTATTTGCTGGAAAGTACAATTATCATCCTCAGATAAAATCAAAGACCTTCAAAATACCACTTAGTAGTTCGTTCCTGCAGAGAGGAATGCATTGTGTGTTGCAGCTGATGCATACCTCACATGGCCAGGTTGTTGCATTGTATATTTTGTTTTGGTTTGAAACAAAAATTTAATTTGAAACTTAAAATTCTTTGACAAAACCAGGCTCACAAAATGGCAGCAGTCGTTCTTTTCTTTTGTGAAAGGTTAGTGAGTTTAGTCGCTTGGGTCAAAGTGTTGCAGGGGGGGGGGGGGGTAGTTAAGCCCCTCTTTGGTTTAACGAACATTGTTTGAAAGTGTTATTGTGTGAAAGTCAAAGCCTTTTGATCCTAAATGTTTTAATGAGCTTTATAATGGGGATTAATTATGTCTAGCGATTTCATGTGAACAAGATTACCCTTTTGCCTGTTGAGGCGACAGGCTTTGGCAATACAGACGTAGAATTAGCTGACTAATTGCATCTGAGTTGCTGCATTTTTCACATATTTGCATGTGTGACTGTGTGAGGAGGGGAGGTTCAGGTTCGACAGTGATCGCTTTCCATCGAATGTGTATAAGTGCACCGTGTATTTTCTGTATAAATATTTCACCCAGGTACTTATATAAAACAAAAGTTATTTGTGTGGCTCTCAACTTTTTTGACTGCAAGACCCCACTGTCCACTGTTTGTTTGAATTTATAATCTAAGTGACACATTGATTATTTGGAATTGACAACATAAATGGAAAAGATGGTTTCCGAAGTTGTGAATGGGTTTTTTTCCCCTCTATCGTCTAGTGGCTAAATGCGAGTTCTTCAATGCCGGTGGAAGCGTGAAGGACCGAATCAGTCTGCGAATGGTAGAGGATGCTGAGCAAGATGGCATCCTTAAACCTGGAGACACTATCATTGAACCCACGTCAGGAAACACAGGTCTGTGTTTGTTAATTGTTTTTAACGGTTGAGAAACCGCCTCTGTTCCATTCAGTTTATACCAGACACTGGAATGCTGGAGGACCAGTTAAACACGTCATGTTCCAACTAGTATGTCACCAAAGACAACGAATTATTGTACAAGTAGAGTCCGCTAGGAGTTATTTAACATTTCTAAGATTATTGATCTTGAATAGTGATGGAGACTGATGGATAAGAAAAAAAATCTAATGTTTTTCTATGCTCTCACTATTTCTTATATCCCTCATTGTTCTAGTTTGTACTTTACTGGACCATGTTTGAAATGTGGTATTGCTAGCACTTGAAGCTAGTTGGAATGAGTAAATGTTTTGTTTTTCAGGTATTGGACTTGCCCTGGCAGCAGCAGTCAAAGGTTATCGCTGCATCATTGTTATGCCTGAAAAGATGAGCATGGAAAAGGTGAGATTATGAAAATAAATATGGTGTGGGCGTGAATTCACTTGATTTCTTAAGACTTCTGTTTCTATTAGTAATGCGTGTGAATGTGAGTTTGGATAGTCATGTGTTTTGTGTCCTTGCATGGTCCCAGGTGGACGTTCTCCGTGCTCTGGGTGCAGAGATTGTTCGTACTCCTACCTCTGCCCGTTTTGACTCTCCTGAGTCTCATGTGGGTGTGGCTTGGCGTTTGAAGAATGAGATCCCTAATGCTCACATTCTGGACCAGTACCGTAATCCCAGCAACCCCCTGGCCCACTATGACACCACTGCAGAGGAGATTCTGCTCCAGTGCGATGGTAATTGCAGAATTTGTGTAGAAGCAACATTGTGTCTTTTTCTAAATTAATCATTAACCTCTCGCTTCAGGCAATTGGGTTATGTTTACGAAAAAGCTTATAATTGACCATTGGTTCTCAACCAGGGAACCATGGCCCAAACTTCCAGGAAGTCCAAATACATCTTAAAATATTTAAATTTAGTACGCCTGGGTTGTGACAAATACACAGAATTCTCCATTTGATTTTGATTCTCAAGCTTTCAATTTGATGTTGGTTAGTTTGAATATAAATCAGATACAGTGTTGAGGAAATTAATGCTGTAAACTATACTGGAAGTCCGTTGGTACTACACTATAATATTGAAGGTCAAAAAATGTAATGATTTGTTCACAAACACTTAAATTACACCTAAGGAACGTTCATAATAAAAAGGTGATAATACTAACTTTACAAATAGATAATTCTTTTTTTTTTGCTCTGAATAGATATTCATGGGATTTAAGAATTATTGGTTCTTCAAAATGAGAATTGATTAAAATTGAGATTTTTTATTTTATTTTTTTAACCCAGTTATATTAATCATGTTGTTGACATCAGATAATATGGCCCAGGTAACAGGGCCTTAAAATATTGACAAAAAGGTTAAAGAAAAAGTCAAGAATCACTGCATTTGACTAATGTTGAAGCCATTTATTTGTGTTTGCTCCCTGTAGGAAAAATAGACATGCTGGTGGCTGGAGCTGGCACTGGTGGCACCATCACTGGTATCGCCCGCAAGCTGAAGGAGAAATGCCCTGATATCAAGGTGAAACAGATCGGTTCATGTATTTTGATACAGCTGTCAATGAACATGGTTTACTATTTCTTAAAGTATTTTTTTTTTAAATACGCTTTTTTTCACATAATAGTTATTACTCAAAGAAATTCTAAATAAGCATTTCTTTGGAGAAACACTTTTTTCCACTTGCATTTTTACACTGCCTATAATGTGTTTTTCTTTTCTCCTCAGATAGTTGGAGTGGATCCTGAGGGCTCCATCCTTGCTGAGCCTGAGGAGCTGAATAACACTGATAAGACTCAGTATGAGGTGGAGGGCATCGGATATGACTTCATCCCCACTGTTCTGGACAGATCTGTAAGTGTGTATTTCAGAGTATGTTTTGATGTAGTTAATAGTTGTACTTGATATTTATTGAGGGCAAATGACCCACCTTAAATTGTATCTCCTAAAATTGTCATGCCTTTGCAGTGGTTGAGAAAGGAAAGGATGCACAGTTATTTAAATATTTTTTTTCTGATATTCAAATCTTGAAGTACATGGATATATTGTTTTAAGCCACAGTAAAGGCAATAGTAACTAAGGATGTGTTCACACTTGAAGTTTGGTTCTTTTGGTCCGGAACAAAAAAAGAAAGAAAATAATGCATTTAGTCCTGCTTCGCTTGGCATTCTCACTATTATTATTATTATTATTATTAACACAGAACCTAGCGAGGGGAAAAAAGACCCCAGCTTTTATGACATGAAATTTGCTATGGAAAGCAATTCTATTTGTTGAGCTAAATACACTAATGTGCATGCATATGGTGTTATTTTAACTAGCTAAGAACTCATGAATGGGTTGTGTGTAAAGGAATTAAAATAGCTCTTGGAATTCCTCTGTTGCACACACAAACAAGATCTGCTGCACGAAATCGTGTACTGAAACTGAACTGTAATGAATAACATTGCAAAATGGCAAGAAGCAGGTATGATTGAACATTCTGGGGTTTTTTTTATGGATCTTGTGACATCACATCCTGTTTTTGGTTCGTTTAGATATCTTTGATCTGTGGTCATATTTCAGTAAAACGGCAAGAGAGTTTGTTTTGAAGGAAAACGAACTTTGGTCTCGGTGTATTGCACCAAGGTCCAGATGGCAGCGTTCACAATTTTTCAAATGAACTGCATTAACAGAGCAATCGCACCAGACATCGTTTTAAGCCATGGAGCGAATGTTGTAGAAACGTTGGGAAACCTTCTGTAGAAACCTTCTGTTGACTTTCATAAGTGTTTACCAGTTTTTATTTGCGGTCTGCACCATTTTTGATCATGATACGATATATTTTATCAATTTCCCAAATGAAAATAGCAAATAATAGATGTTTTGATGTAGGGCTTGGCGGTATGCCTATGTATATCGTTACCATGATATTAATTGTGTATCGTTAGAGATTTTGTATTGTGTATACAATTAAGATTTTGTACATAAGATATATACATAAGATTTTGTATATATATAATAAAAACACACTTAAAGGATTTTGTCTAGCATAATTTAAGTGTGATATACAAAATAGTGGTGGGTGATATGACCAAATTCTTATTTCACGGTAGTTATTTTTTATCTCGTTTTCAGGTGGTGGATAGTTGGTACAAGTCCAATGATGAGGAGTCCTTTGCCATGTCTCGTATGCTAATCAGAGAGGAGGGTCTTCTGTGCGGTATGTGACTCCTAATGCATCTCTCACATTTAATGTGTGTGAATTTGTGTATCTAAATCTGTTCTCTATCACTCTTTATGAAGGCGGCAGTTCAGGCACAGCCATGTCTGCAGCAGTGCATGTGGCCAAAGAGCTGAAGGAAGGCCAGCGTTGTGTGGTGATCCTTCCTGACTCCATCCGCAACTACATGTAGGTTTCGCTGTTCCCAGCATTCTAGTGTGCTTAGCTGTGATGTGAATGTGTGTTTTGTGTTGCCTGGGTGATTAAGCAACAACAATACTATTGTGATGTTTTAGACTTAAACCTGGACAGCCGATATGTTCAGAATTATATGCCAGTTGAGAATCTGCTTTAAAGCTGTAGCTTCCCAAATACAAGCTTTTATGTAGTCTTGTCTACTGAATTATAGTCTATGCTTATCTTAAGATGGTGGCTAAATGAGTCAGTTAGCTGCACAAACCGTATCAATGTAGTTTATACTTTTAGAGGAAATATCTTTTACCAATGTATATCTATTCAAAACAAAACCAACAAGGATTTTAGCATGATGTTTAACGGATAAATTTACACTACATTCAACTAATGAAACTGGAGAACACACACCCTTATATACATTGTGATAAACAGCAGCATTTTTATAAATGTATGCATGCACGTGCCGCACACACATTTAATTTACATAAAGCATCTAAAATGACCAATTTACTAAAACATACTTCTTTTTTGACTAACAAATAGTGATTTCAGGAAAAAATAACTAGATTTATTTAGTTAAATACTGCCCATGCTACTGCATGCTTGTACACATACTGCATTTGAGGAACAATACATAGTAAGCATATTTTCCCACTGTGTTGGATACTGTTTCCTGAGGTTGCACTATTGATCTAAATAAAACAAATATCACGATACAGCTTAGTGCGATTATCAAATCACATGGGCTGTGATTTAATTAAATATGTACGCAGGGTGTTTCAGCTGTGTTCATTTGCATGTTAAATAGTGTCTCAGAGCAACTGTTTACATTTAATACTGCTCTACATGAACTCCTCTCTGCATCTGATATGACTTTGAGTCACTTATAACATGCATTTGATGCAGTGCACCCAGCATTCCACAGAACTGAAAAGCCACTTGGTAATGTAAACAAAGTTCAGCAGCGTGGGTCATGTGACGACAGCTGTATTTTGCTTTAGGCTATATAGTACACTCTTGGCTTGGCCTAAATGCTTTGTTCTCCACCTTAGGTCTAAATTTCTTAGTGACAAGTGGATGTGTGAAAAGGGCTTCCTGAGTGAGGAGGATCTTGTTGTCAAGAAGCAATGGTGAGTGTACACACACGTACGCATGTTGCCTTTGGAAGCACCCTTGTTATTTATACACTGATATCCTCTACAAATATAGTCTCTCTGCGTCTGTTATTACACTAGGCTGCATTACTTCTACAGTTAAGCTTCTATATGTGGAGGCATGTTCACTCTCCCTGATAACTGTGTATGCGTGTCATCTTACCGTGAGCTTTTAGTGTCTTTCTCCCTGCCCTCATCTCTCGGTAGGTGGTGGAATCTGACTCTACAGGAGCTCCGACTCTCCGCCCCCCTGACTGTGCTTCCTTCAGTGTCCATCAAGAAGACCATTCAGATCCTGAAAGAGAAGGCCTTTGACCAAGCACCCGTGGTGGATGAGGCTGGGTAGGTCATTCATTCAGAACCAGTTGTGTTGTTAACCAGTTAACCTATTATGTACTGCATTAATAAAGATATCTGAAACTATGAGGTGAAATCCATCAAAAACCTTGTTTTAAAAAAAGTTCTTATTATATAGCCTATAATTACTCAAAAAACAAAATGGTATAATTATTTTCAAATACAAATCCTACATTTATAAAAAAAAAAAAAACATAAGTTACAAGTGGTTGATTGATAAAAATAAATTAAGAACTCTTAAACTTTTTATTTTAGGTACACTTGGGTACATTAAAACAGGACCTGACTACATATTTCAAATGCATGCAATGAATAGACAGGATTTTGATGCTAAAAACTGGACAAGTCAGAAGTCGCATGCCTTCATCAAACAGGATCAGTTTGTTTTATGACCTTAAGATGAAACAAAAATAAAATCTCACAGCATTAGCTGCAACATGGAGGCTGCAAACCCATGAACATTGTAGGAAAAGTAATACTGGTTTGGGTGATAAATAAATATGGGGGGGGGAAAAACGATTTGCGGCCTTTGAGAATCGATTTTGAGTGGACCAAGTTTTAAAAAAACGATTCATTGAAGAAAAAAAAATGTTGCCCCAATATTATTAATACTTTATTATTTATATACAAATATTTTTCTAAAATTATTACAGATTAATTCAGATATTACAAACTTTCATAATAGAATCACTGTCAATATGATTTTTTTTTCAATAATATTATTATTATTATTTAGTTATTTTGAATAGGTTCATACATTCTGATATCCTGGACATTTGTGTACCCAAGCACTGCTCATTTGACGTCTCCTTGATTTATATCATCGTCTCATTAGAGGCTCCAAGTGTTTCGGACAACGGAGACACCCGAAATGTACAGTGCTGATGTCTTCCAGGACCAAGATTGAGACTTAATAGATCTGGACTAAAACGTGACTGGGGTGTCATGTCATTGGCCCAAAAATAACAAAATGATCTAACAGATGTAGGAAGAAATAAGTGGAGGAAGGTGTGGCTCAATCTGGTTTCTGGTTTTCTCCCTGTAGGCAGATTCTGGGCATGGTCACGTTGGGGAACATGCTCTCGTCGGTTCTGGCTGGGAAGGTTAAGCCATCTGATCCCATAAGCAAAGTTCTCTACAAACAGTTTAAACAGGTGGGCACACACACAAACACACACACCCCTTTCTGTCATTCTGTACTTGCAGCAGAAGGTTCAAGAAAAAGTATTCACACAATTTGTTCAAATAAACCTTGAAACGTCGGAAATCCTTATAAGTGCATGTCATTGTGATCATGTTTTTTTATTTCCCCTCTGGTTCTAAATGAGGGTAATTTGGATCTAATTATACGGTTGTCTATAATGAAGATTTTTCAGGTTTTTGAGCCTTGGATGAAGGAAATGATAGAGTAAATCTCAGTACACCGAGTGGTATTTAATGACCTGTACTGGCAGAGGTAATGTGATCTCTCAATACTCAACTTGTCTGTCATGCTGTAGGTGCGCCTAACTGATAACCTGGGCAAACTCTCACGTATCCTGGAGACGGACCATTTTGCCCTTGTTGTGCACGAACAGATTCAGTGTAAGTCAAGTTCTTTAACTTTTTGTTCCACTTTTCCCTAACCAATCTCCATTTTCTTATTTTTAGATATTCAATTTAGATATTTATCCCCACAAAGATGAAGAAATATCCCCACAAAGATGACAATATCTGAAATCCTTGTCCTTGTGGGGACATTTTCCATGAGGAAAACTGCTTATGAATCATAAATCACTTTTTGAAAATGTAAAATTGCAAAACGTTTTTCTATGATGTTTAGGATTAGGGGATGGAATATGCAGTTTGTACCATATAAAAATAATTGTCTATGAAAAGTCACCCCAAAACACGCTAACCCATGAAAATTTAAGAACACTAATAATAAATATAGCTGCAAGCAGCAATTATCAGGGCCAAGCGCAAAGACGACCAGACATGCCAACATGGCTAGGAATGTCAGACCAACTGCAACAATGAGAAATTAAAGACATTTAAAGATGATTTCAGGCAAAATGGCTGAAAAATCATTTATACAGCAACTAAAAGTATGTTTTAATGGATTATCAAGAGACGTACAGAGTTTTGTAATGGTACACCAAATGCATTCGTAAAGTGTTGCATTTAATATCATGATATTATATTGTAATTGATGGCAAATTTCCTTGTTATGTTCTATTATAGCGCCACCAAGTCGTGCAGTTCCACCGTTTTTTTTATGTGTTCTCAGACTGAGCCCATACATGTGTGTCTCAAATTTGAATGTAAAAAATTGTCAAAGTGTCATAGTCTAGCATCTACATCACATGACGAATTAACAGGTATTTTACAAAAAGTCTTTCCATACAAAACACAGCACTAAGCAGGAATAAAGAGCTTATTCATAGAGCTTAATGCAATACAGCACCAATTTGTGATACAGGACACGTGTTTTCCTGAACTTCGGATCACTGCGCCACTCTATTTGCTCTTTGTGGTAAAGTGACATTACACCTGCTGTCGCATATACTTAGCCAAGTGCTAGAAGGACACCACTGTGAACTTTCCATTTTCGAGCTAAGGTTAACAAACATTACATAAGAATACAGGGCAGGACTGTTTTTATAACTTTCACAACAGCATTATTGTAAATGGAAATAATAATGTTATTGTAGCATCACTGACATAATTGTGGTAGTACTTTACAATAAGTGTCGGGGAAAGTTATTTTTAAAAGTAATGAATTAATATTACTCCCTGAAAAAGTAACGAATTGAGTTACTTTTGCGTTACTTTTTCTCACCTAGGCCGGGCCTTTTACACAGTGAAATTAATAAGCCTCAGGCTGAAGAAAATGCAAATTCACATCTGTAAACTAAAGTAGAGGCTGCAGCTTAAACATGCCTTTCAGCTGTGCTGCAGTTCTGGATTGAAAAAAAAAAAGTGGTTTATCTAAAGTCGTGTTTGCTTACTTGCAGCATGGTTGAATTGGATCATCAAAGGTCATCAGCAAAGACATTGGTTAAAAAAGTGAGAGAAAATACAAAGTATATTTGTGTAATTTGATCAGATTTAATCATTGCAGGTTTGCATAATATTGAGTTTTCATTTCACTGTTTTTATTCAATTTGAGGAATACTGAAGTTGTTTTTGTTCAAATGAAATGAGTAAATGCATGCTCACATTTAGTCTAGAACTACAACAACCCTCATGTTCACACTGTGCACATAACGCCTCTGCACTTACTCCCTATTTCTCTCGACAGAGTTTGCTCTCTGATATTTTGTTGTAAATTTAAAAGCAATGCGTTACTTGGAAAAAACAAAAATGTATGTCAGAAATCGTGTTACTTGTAAATGAGTGAACCCCAACACTGGTTACCAAAAGGTTTCATTTGTTAAATTAGAAATTAGTTGACTACAGTAATTAACCTGAACAATACTTGTACAGCATTCATTAACCTTAGTTAATGTTAATTTCAACATTTACATTAAAATCAAAATTTGTGTTCATTAAAACAGTTAATGCACTGCAAGTGTAAACTAACCTGTTACACCTTACTTAATTTTAGTTAATAAAAATGGCTCATCTGGCCGGTTGTTATCTTTGAATAAACCCCCGATAAGGTGATGCGGAGCCTGAAGGGGGGTTATTCTGAGGTAACATAATATCTCAGATATTCTCAGTTATTCTGTTTGTTCTATCCATTTATTTATATATTCAGTTAGTATTTTTTTCTTTTTCATTTCAAGTAAAGATAATGTTTTTTTTAATGGTTTGAATTAATGATAATAACCCAGGACCGTGTGCAGATATAGTGCAGTAAATTTAGGCTTTGATGTCATTGCAGTGGATGGTGTCCACAGTCTGAATTGTAGTTCCTGTCTTACAGACATGAGTAATGGATCCCCCAAGATGAGGCAGATGGTGTTTGGGGTAGTGACCGCTATTGACCTGCTGAACTACGTGGCCACACGTGAGAGGAGGGAACGCTCTCTGTCCGAGTGCTCTATGTCTGAAGAGCAGTGAATGATCTTGAGTGTGGGAACGCAATGGTGATGCGCTGTTGTGTTTCTCTCTCGCTCCTTTTTTTTTTTTTTTTTAATTCTTTTATTTCTCGGTTAGTGACAAGCTCAGTTTTATTTTTTTTTTATTATTATTATTATTTTATTTTTTTTACAAGTAAGAGTCAGTCAATATAATTGTACTTGTTATGTACTTGGTTTACTTGATTTTGCTCTTAATTGGTCTCACTTTTTTTTTTTTTTTTCAGTTTAGATGCTTTGTTAACCAGTCAACATAATGAAGTAATCTCACAGGTCATTTATCCCCCCTTTGCAAATCTGATTTTATAGAGGTGTATATATTCAAATTAATGAACTTCATTCCTTCAAAAAACTGCATGCAGTTTAGTATTTTTGGGTTTAGTTGAAGTGTTCGATTCAGGTGCTCTCTTGTCTGATCTACAGCTACGTTGCCACCTAGTGACTGAAATAGTTTACAACAATCATGGAGACTTCTATCCTCATCAATCATGCTCTGCTTCTTGGCACAATGATCTCAGCAGTGTGTGGGGAGTTTTGCAGGCATGATTAATAATATTTGACGAGGCAAATAAGTGTGTTTGGTAAACCGAACTGCACCCAGACAGGGCTACTTGGTATTTTTCTTGTATTGAAACAAGAAGCGATAAAGAATGTAAATAAATAATGCTGGTTCGGACTTGCTGAAAACACACCACTTTGTGTTTAGCCATTTTGATAATTATTTTCATTTTTCTTTGTTCTTATTGTCTGTTGTCTTGTAAATCAAAGCTGTAATTTCTGGAGATTGAATAAGATTGTTTGTTTGTATGAGTCGATGCGAAGTGAATGTGCATTGGGTTGATCTCGTGTATGGTTTTTGTGCATGCTGCTGGAGGTCTCTGGATCAGAATGTCTTTACTCTCCTGCTATGATGTTCTGTTATTTGATTAAGCTTTTACTTGAATCTTATTGCTGTAGCAAATGCTGGTTACAAATAAAGGCTTTATTTCTGGAAGCAATAGTGGTTGTGTGAATACTGTAAAGATCTCATACTGCTGTCAGGTCAGGGATTCGAACATAAAGTGTGTTGCTGGAAACCCCAGGTTCTAAACCAATGCTCTAGGACAGTGTGGACCCATTTGGCAGATAATCACAAGAGGCAAACACCCAAAGTTTAAAGGGGGAAAAAAAAGAGTCTGTACTTGGTATTCTTCTTGAACAAACACAAAGGATCCAGCATCAGTGCTGGGTTGCGCAAGGTACAAATCCACACTCGATGATGCAGGCAAAACAGTCCAATAACATACAACAATATTTACCAGAGAAGCTGGTCAGAAAGGTCTGTGCGGAAGCCTTTCAGGGTAGACCAAATGGGAAAACACAAAATACATAACATACTAAGATGTGGAAGGTCTTGTGCTCTGTCTTCCTCTGCTGGACAGGCCGTGCTGTGACAGCTATTCCTCAGGCAGGATCATTTTATTAGCAAAATATCCCAACATTCTTTGTTGCACAGTACACAGTTGTTGTGTTTTGGCACAGCAGATGCAAGTTACTTCTGTTATCTTTGGAGGAATGTATGTAATATGAAGATTCTACAAAGGAACACTATGAAAGTAAATAGCAGGCGCAACAATGCTGATATAACCATATAGGCTATATGTTATGGGTACAATGTGGGTCACATGACTAAGCATGCCTCATCGGTTTTGATTATCTCAGTTTTTACAGTCCACACTATTACATGAAATGAAAATGACATTTTCAAATGCATCCGTTTGGGAAAGTGTTTTGAAAAAGCTCCTTCTTTGTGGACAAAAAATGTTGTCTCTGTGTGGACCGAAGGCAAAACCAGAGAGAAAAAGAAAACTTATTTGTGTGGACAAGGCCTTACCCAAATTATAATAACCCCATAATAACTGCTGTCACTTTATTTACTTATTAACCAGGTTACTGTTTCGTGATATCTGTAAAAAGTTTCTTTCTTCTGCTGAGCACAAAGGAAGATATTAAAACTCAATATTTGCAGTATTTTGAATTCAGAACAAAAAAAAAAAAACTAGCTGTTTGAACATGTCTATAAAATTCAGCCATAAAAAACTTTCAGTTTCAAATGTTCAATATACACAATAATGTATAATATAAGTTCAGAAGTATTTAAACTACCACCTAAAATTAAACTTTGTTCGATTTACACTTGCAAATAATTCAAATTTACAAATTCAAATCATTTTGTCATATTAATAGCTCCATAGTTGTTTGGAACCATTGACTTCAATAGTATTTTTTTTTTTTCTACTATGGAAGTCAATGGTGCCAAAGTTCCAATCATTCTACAAAATATCTTCCTTTGTGTTCAGCAGAAGAAAGAAACTCATACAGGTTTGCAACAACTTGAGGCTGAGTAAATGATGACAGAATGTTTGTTTTTGGGTGGAGTAGCAGCCTATCCCTTTAATAATTGTAACTGAACTAAACTGAACTGAACAATTTTTAAAGTGAACCTGCAGTGAACCCATCATCTGGAGCTCTAAAGAAATTCCGAACAGCTCCTTTAAACACACTTTTTCTTGTTTCCTTTAGAACTTTTGACAGACCTGTCAGTTTCAGTGTTGAGATGAGAAGTTGATGGAGCACATTATCCTGTCAGCCTGTGGAGAAAAACAAGTTTGTCCATCTGCCCCTAATATGCGTATGTACACAAACACGCAGGTCAAATACGCAATATACCTATCTTTATTGACAGAGAAACACAGATTTATCCACATTTTCCTGCTGGGAAAGTCGTTGTTAAGTGAATGCTGAGGTACACTCAGCCCCCTGCAGAGAGCGTTGCCGAAAAGGCTAGCCAGGGCGCTACATAATACGAGGCATTGAGAGGAGCCATTTACTCTGAAATGCAGGAGAAGGTGGTGATTGTGCTTGAAAATCGTAATTGCTGGGAGGGTTGATGGTTGGATAGACATGACGTAAGGAAAAACAATTTGAGTCTTTTGCGTCATTCCTCTGTATGCCATAATAAATCATGGAAATGACATCCCATTAGCCTTGCTCCAGGCTTCCGCCCTCCCTTGCATCCTCTCAGCCTTCAGCTGCTTCTTCACATGGCGAGGTATGAAACGTCACCGTGCAAGGAGAAGAAAAGCAGTGTGAAAGCAGAAAGAACAAGTGGCTCTGAGAGTCTAATTGAAAAGGTTATCAGAAGACAAAATGAAAGAGGTTGTTGAAAGAGTCAGAGAGAGAACTAGACAGTAACTTGGAGGGCGGTTGAAAGAAGGGAAGAGGAGCTGTGTGCATTTTGATGATGAATATTCTCTCTTTGAATCTTCGCTGACGTCACAGCCAGTGCTCAGAGTGCAGCTTGAGGCTGAGAGGAAAAACGTGTATTTGGCTTTTCACCTTTTCACTTTTAGATTGTGTGCCCTGCTTTTTTTGTGTGTCTAAGCTCTGCGTTTTCATCCGCAGTGGTTTTATGTTCTCTATTTTGCGAACTGTGGTACTAGTCAGCTGGTTTTACTAGTCACCCGGGGAATCAGGACAGCATCAACATGTGCTGTGAGGATTACATTTAAATAAATAACCTTTATTAAATGAGCACACTGTTTTCGTCAAAGACCTTCTTCAGGCAAAGTAATTTTTAATGACATGTCTGGATAATTACTACTTTTTTTTTTCTTTTTTTTTTTTACTTTAAAATAACGATTCTCAAATGAAAAATGCATAGTTTAATCATTAGGACATAGCACAAAGATAAAAAAAGATTAGAGAACATCTAGATAGCAAAACAATAAATATATATTGGCATATATAAGGAAAAAGGACAACACACAATTATTATTTTTATAAAACAATATTCATTATGGATAATATTATTATGAGTAGGAGTAGTAGCAGCAGCAATGTTCAAAATCTCAAATGTAGGACTCTACACATTTTCAAGTTTTGCTTGTCTGAGATGTAGGCTATAGCCTATAATTGATGACCTTTCTCACAGACCTTTTTGTTTGTTCATTACGACTATTTGTTTTGTTCATTCACTATTATGCATTTAGCAGACATTTTGAAGTAAAAGCATGCATTTAATCTTTTTGTGTGTTCAGTTGACATTAAACCCATGATCTTGCTAATGCTATGCTTTAATTGAGCTGCATGGAACTCATTTGAGCATAAAAACCACAGGATGCCCACTAAACAAAGGATTGAACAGTGATGCATTTCCCTGCTGTTTTTCAGCCCATTCTCACCCCCAAGGCGTCACTTAACTGACGCCTTGGGAAGCATTTGGACATGCTTCAATATCTGACGCTTTAGGCGCCCTTTAGCGTCGGTTAGATGACGCCCTAGGATCGCGTGTACCCTGCCCCCACCCCACACCTAAACCTAACCGCGTCCTCTAACTGACGCTTTCCTTTAGCGTCAGTTAGATGACGCCGTAGGATCGCGTCATGTAAGTGACGCTAAAGGGCGCCTAAAACGTCAAATATTGAAGCATGGTCAAAGGTGACGCCTTGGGGTGAGAATGCGTTGTGTTTTTGGATGTGCAAAATTTTCTAAGATTTGCTTTGATTTGTGAGGAGTTGGTGGCTCACAAACTCTGTCACTGCAAGAAGAAGGACAATTCTGGGAATGACCTTGCACTTCCAACGTGTACTAATATTAGGCTATATTATAAATGTTTTTGCTCATTTGTGAGTCAGCCCCCCTGAAGGCTAATTGGCTTGGTTGACCCTCACATTGATTTCATTTTATGAATGAACAGATCATAATCATGATGAGGCTCATGATCTGTGCTTCATTGTTGCTTGAACTATATATATATATATATATATATATATATATATATATATATATATATATTGTGTGTGTGTTTGTGTGTAGGATATATTCAGCCCATTGTCACCCCCAAGGCGTCACCTAACTGACGCCTTGGGAAGCATTTGGACATGCTTCAATATCTGACGCTTTAGGCGCCCTTTAGCGTCAGTTAGATGACGCACTAGGATCGCGTGCACCCTATCCCCACCCCACACCTAAACCTAACCGCGTCTTCTAACAGACGCTTTCCTTTAGCGTCAGTTAGATGACGCCGTAGGATCGCGTCATGTAAGTGACGCTAAAGGGCGCCTAAAACGTCAAATATTGAAGCATGGTCAAAGGTGACGCCTTGGGGTGAGAATGCGTTGATATATTGCACGTCTTTTCATATTTCCAGAATTTCCAAAAAAAGTAAAAAAAAAAAAATATATATATGTATATATATATATATATATATATATATTATATTTTATATTTTATAAAAGGGGGCCACATTTCCAATTATTTTACAAATTATTTTTGTCATTGTGTTTTTTCTACTATGTGTCTGAGGTTTATTCTGAACCAGAAGAGGGCGCTCTTGAATTAGCATGAGGTATTTGGAACTCTTGCAAATAACCTCAAAAGTCTTGAAGATATTCATCACAATATTTTCAGCTACATAATCCAAATGTTTATAATTATGAGCATAACTACACTAAAAATCTCATGTGTCACATATCATTTGTTAATTTCACGATGGCACACTGCGCAAAAACATTATTATCTTTAGGATATCTGGCTGAGAAAAGGTGCCAAAGCAGTTGATAAATTGGCTTCTAATGAATCCTTCTGTGGTGATTACTTGTAATTATGCAGATTGCAAAGGCAGCTAACACGGCTCCTTCCACTCAGTGACAGCACTATCTTTCATCATTACTGAAATGTGTATGAATCAACACAAAGGCGGTTTTCCAAAGTTGCTGACGCAAAAGGGATTATTAGGAGTTTTTCTTCTCCGCGGGGAGAGGCTAACTGCATTAGATTGGTTGTTATTCAGGGAAAACAGCCTCGATGTCTTTACACCCTGGGGATTTTGGTCTGTCTCCAAAGATCAGAACTTCTGCCACACAAGACTAAACAAGTAGACAGATTTTGTGCACTGCCCTGAAGCCTAGCCTGATTAGCCTGAATAAGGAATCTTGATTTGACAACACAAGT